CATGGCCAAGGTGGGGGCTCAACCAGAAAAAGAGGTCAAACTCTGCAGTGGCTTTTTCCCAGTGAATGCTAATGTTGCTGAAGTCGAGCAGATATTTTAGAAGAGAGGCTCTTGTGTGACAACAAAGCTGCAGCAGTGCCAAACTCCTCCTGCAGAAACTTCCCCAGGGAAAACACAGCAATTATCTTTGATGGGCAGGATAGGTGGCTTTAGTGTTTTTCTCAGAACTGACCTGTTTTGTCTCAAGGTGGGTGTGAAAATACTAAGGGCAGCACAGTGTCTGTGAGGAGTGCTGGGACACACCAGGGATGTCCCCCATCAGGAATCCCAACCATTCTGCCAGCTGGAATATCTCTGAAAAACATTTGGCTTTGCTGTCAGAGGAGACATAAGCACCACATGCTGAGTTTGCTCCTTCCTAACTGATGTCTGTAAAATCCCAAACAGAATTCCAGGGTATGTGGGTTTAGTGGTTATTGTAGAGTCCTTTGTTCTCTCTGGTGCACTTAGATCTTGGAAAGGTTTGGATTGGAAGGGACCTCAAAGCTCATCCAGTCCCACCCCCTGCCTTGAGCATGGACACCTTCCACTAGCCCGGGTTGCTCCAAGCCCCATCCAGTCCAGCCCTGAACACTCCCAAGGATGTGGCAGCCACAGCTTCTCTGGGCAATCTGTGCCAATGCCTCACTGGTGATATGAACCATTTCTTCCAGTGTCGCTCTGAGAAATTGTGAAGCAGTGTTACTTCACAATATTGTCACCTGAGACATCCCCAGAAGTTCCATTTTCACCATTAAAAACATGTTTAGTGAGTAAGGCATGGTGAGGAATGGGAATGAGGATGGATGTACAAACAGCACAGTGCAGCGTGCCACCGCAGCAAGTAGCAGCAGGGGGAAAGTACCTGATGGCAGGGTTATGCCTTAGAGTTATTAGTGGAAGATGCCAGATGGGAATGTCCTTCCCTCTCTCCTTCAAGCCCCTTTCCCTCAGGAGTAATTCAGTCCTGGGTGCTGACTCAGCTGAGCTGAATTTTCTCCATCAGCGAACACCACGAGGAGCAGGAGGAGCCCAGCTCAGGGCAGAGCAGCCCCTGCTACAGCTCCCAACAAAATGCCTTTGAAATATCTTTCAGGGGTTTGTTGCCATGCTTGGGGGAACAAGCAGACTGAAAAGTCTCTTGAATAATTCTTGCAGACTAATGAACAAATTTGATTACGGTTTGGCAGCTTTTCCTAATATTCCCCGTAACTAGGAAATGGTCCCAGATCCCTGCTCTGCAAGCACCCTCGTAATTCACCCTCGTAATTAAACCATGAATGAAAGCAAATGTCCTGATGAGCACATTGGGTTGGTACTTAAATTGAAGCAAATGAATGTTAAAAACCAAAACAATCCTTCTGTAATCCCTGGAGGGTTGGATGGGGTTGTGTACCCTGATGTTTCAGAGTCTGTGAGAGATGGAGCCTGAATTATGGCCCCTGAAGTAGGGCCGTTCCCTACTCAGTTCCCCTGGATTGATCTGGTTGGACTTGATGGTCTTACAAGTGTCCTCCAGCCTTGATGTTTATTGTTAATATTATTAACAGGTATAAGTTCATTAAATCATAGAATGGTTTCAGTTGGAAGAACCTTAAAGACTATCTAGTCCCACCCCCTACCATGGGCAGGGACACCTTCCACTAGACCAGGTGGCTCCAAACCCCATCCAACCTGGCCTGGAACACTCCCAGGGATGGAGCAGCCACCGCCGCTCTGGGCAACCTGTGCCAG